CCCGAGACTCCAACCCTGCGAGCAGAGGATGTCGCGAAGCTAGTAAATGACTAACTCCGAGGTCTCCGACTCAAATGAAGCACGGAGGAGGCCCTGTGTAAGGAAATTGATCGAGTTGACTGCTCGCCCTTTACCGACGACATGGAACGAGCTCCGCCGCCGAAACGGTTTACAACGTCATCCATCACTCCATTCAAGGGGGACTCTGACCCCGAGAGCCATTTGAGGCACTTCAAAAGCGACATGATCCTGTACAAGGCAGACGACGCCCTGATGTGCAAAGTGTTCGCGATGACTCTACGATGAACAGCTCAGGATTGGTTCCACACCCTACCGTCCACGTCAATAGGCAACTTCAAGGAGTTCGCCATCATTTTCACAAAGGAGTACACCTCCTACAAGACGGTCAGAAAGCATGCAGACCACCTGTTCAACCTGCGCAAGAAGCCAGACGAGTCTCTACGAGACTACCTGAGACGGTTTAAGGCCGAGAAGGCTAACATCATAGGATGCGACGACCAAGTTGCATCCTCAGCTTTCAAGGGCTTGCCAACCGAGCACGAGCTATACCGGGAGCTGGCCATAACTCCAAGTCAAACCTTGGCAGAAGTGTTCGCGACGGCGGAGCGCTACGCACTTTGGGACGATGATCGTATCTCCGCAAAGAAAGCTAGCAAGCAAGTTGACCACTCGACGAAGCAGGCAAGCCAAAAGAGCAACAAGTTCGAGCAAAAAGCCCGAGATAAGCGTAAATCGCGGCCCTAAGAGGGAAGCTCAGAAACAGGGACCTTCACTGAGTTCGCTATCCCAATCCACCAGATCCTAACTCAGGGGAAGGACAAGCCGTGGATAAGGAGACCACCATCCATGAAGGGAGACCCCTCTAAAAGAGACACCAGTAAATACTGCGCATTCCACGGGGGGCACGGTCATTACACCAACAACTGCAACGCTTGGAAAAGGCACCTTAAGGAGCTGGTCAGAGAAGGTCATTGCACAGAGTTCGTTGCAAAGAAGGCTATCCAGCAGATCGAGGATCGTGATGCAGCTGCCAAGGAACCTCCCCAAAAGGTCATTCGAATCAACACCATTCTAGCCGACTCCCAAGAGTCCGGGATGACCACCAAGGAGCGCAAGAGAAAGATCGCGCAGGCAACTTATGTCTCCCAAGTCACAACGGGAGTACCAGCTGTTGGGGATACACCTATCATCGGCTTCCAGAAGAAGGACTT